GATCAAAACGCGGTCTTTCGCCGCGATATTCTCGGAATTGGCGGCCGCGCTAAGGATACACAGGGAGTGCGGGTCGATATTGGGCGGGGTGCATTTGGAGTTGACGGGGAATGCGGTGACGGAGTGTACGGGTGGTAGTGAGGGCTTGCAGGATGAGGATTTGGGGGCGAGGTATGAGACGTTTTGTGATCCGAGACTGAATGAGAAGCAGGCGCTGGAACTTGCGTTTTTGGTTGCGGGGAGTCAGCGAGGGACGGAGGGGTGAGTTTGGATGTGAAGGAGGTGATTCGGGGCGTTTTCGGCGGATTGGGAGCTTACGAGCACGCAAAAGCGAGGATGTTGGTTGCCATATTGACGGTGCTGCCTACTGAATAGTAGCACCTCACAGCTTTGCCTATTGGTTCTTGTATGGCAGGCCGGCCACCTCACTTATCATCTCCAGTGCCTCGATCAGCTTCTCGTCCTCGTACCTGCGTCCGACAAGCTGCAGTGAAATCGGCGCATCAACGTATGTCTCTGGCTTGTCTGCTCGGTCGTCAGCATTTGCAAGTCAACCCACGATCAACGTGAATGCACTTACAGAGCTCGAAGTTATACTTGTCCTGCTCATTCCTCGGCGCATAGCCCTCCTCAGCTTTGTCCTCAGCGCCAGCCTTTAAACCGGTCGGAAAGACCAAGCTTGGATAGTCCAGTAAGTTCCACTGAGACGTATAACCCCAATATCTCGCACAACCATGCGGCGGAGCGCAGCCCGGTCCCGTCGGAGTGAGAATGACATCGACCATCTTGTCCCTCTCAGCCATAGCCTCCACTCGCAGCTCCGCCTTCGCCTCCGGCCCGGGGAGACCGGTATTGACCGTGTTCCAATGCTGAGTGTAAGCCGCTTTATACCCCTCTCGATCCTGCGTCAAGCCCCACAACTCCGACACAGTCAAGTTCTTAACGTTGGGATTATCGGTGATGATAAATTTCGTGAGAGGCAACCACGGCTCGCCGGAGGCATCGATGGCTTCTCGCTCTTCTGCGGCACCGTCGGCGAAGTAGAGACTGCTGATGATTCGCCAGGCTTCCTCGTGCTTGTAGGGCGGGAAGTCCACGAGTTCGATGTCGGGGTGCGAGCGAAGTTTGGAGATTAGGGTGTTCATGCCACGAAGGATGGGTGGGTGAGGCTTCACTACGCCATCGTCTGCTAAAATTCCGACACGCAACTTACGCTTTCCGTCTGAGCCTTTGCGTAAGAGGGAGGCCGTAGATGTATCTTTCCAAGGCATGGTGATGAGACTAGGTTCATACAGCCACGGCTGCTGATCAATCAGCGTCTTCATGAACACCTTGACGCCGTCAAGACTCGTGCTCAACGGTCCGATGACAGGTACGATGTGTTCGCTCCCCAGCATCGTAGCCGACCATCCGCCAACCGGCAACCGATAGCTCGTCGGTCTCAAGCCGAAGAGCCCGTTGTTGGCGGCTGGGCTGCGGATGGAACCTCCAATATCCGTCCCGATTCCCAGACAAGAGCCGTGCATTCCCATCAACGCGCCCTCGCCACCGCTGCTGCCGCCACTAGTCAGAGCGGTGTTGTATGGGTTCACAGTCACGCCGTAGATATTGTTGTCCGTCTCGAGATGCATCAACGCCTGCGGCTCCGTTGTGCGGACATAGAACACCGCGCCAGCATTACGTAGTAGCTTGAGAATAAGTGCATCGTCCGGGGCTATCCTGCCGACCCACGAGACGAAGCCGGCGTTGATATCGAGTCCCTTCATCGAAACGTGCTCCTTCACGCTGATAGGCAGGCCATGTAGCGGTCCTATGGGCTTACCGTGCGTGGCGAGGTAGTCGTCCACGTACTTGGCTCGAGTGAGTGCTCGTTCTGGTAGCATCTCAGTGACGCAGTTCGTCAGCTTGCTCGCCAGCCCGGCGCGCTGCAGGAAGGCCTTGGTGACATCTGTGCTTGAAAGAGTACCGCTTGCGAGTTTCTGGAGGAGCTTCTCCGTCGGGGTCTCTGTGATGGATATGACTTCCGCTGGGAGCAGTTGCTTCGGGATGCCAGTCACGTTGAGTGGAAGCTCCTTCGGCGGGTCAGGTATTGCTGGTTCGATTGCTGCTATGGTCTGCTCGCGATGCTTCAGCATTGCAGCCGATATGTCTTGCCATGACTTCTTCGTCTCGGTCATAGTCGCGATAAACCAAAGGGTTCGCTGTTCATGGAGCTTCTTTACAGGACGTGTGATGGGAGGTAGAATGAGTAAGAGATGTTCAGGATGCTCTACTTCTCATTCAGTTCTGTACCTTGCTGTCAACAATCACCGCCGTTTCGGCCTAAGGGGTTACGATAGGCATTTCTACGCAAAGATAGCGGCCGACGGTGGCCAAGTCGCAGCCCACGTCGAAGCTGCAGCTGTCGAGGGGCGCTCTGCCGCTCGGTGTAGCCAGGGCATTCAGCAGCATCCTAAGGTACTGTACTTGTACCTTATAGCCGTGAGAGCTTGCTATCGTACAACCGCTTCACACGTAACGGCTCTGTTGAGTGGGAACTGCTCTAAGCGCACCATCGGTTCGCGACGTACTCAGGTCTGTGCTGGAAGGAAGGCAAGAAGGGAAACGACACAGAATGTCTCACACATGCCAAGCCAAAAGAGCAAAATGGATTGATTCTTCGGCGCAAATCGCAAAGGTGCAATTCTTCAGTGTAAACACACACGCATACATGTACATACACACACTTATATGCAAACAAAAGCCGAAAAAGATATCATCGCTGTGATCGTGCCAGGGGCTGTAATGTTGTTAGAGTAGTTGTGTGGATGTTCGGGTACTGATATGACTCACTCGAACCTGGAATCTCTTGATTCGTAGTCAAGCGCCTTGCCATTGGGCCACACGACCATGAACGCTCA